GCTTATAGGGGAAATTTAAAAACTTTTTGAAACAAATGAAGGCATCAACACGATGTATCAAAACTTATGGGATGTCCACTGCACATGTTGGCAGGCACAGGAACTGGAGTTGGGGGCCAATCTAACAGAGTTATGGGGGTCTCTCTGACTGGGCTTCAGCTCCCCCTAGATGCCAAGTGTGTGATGGGCATGGTTGGACTGGGCTGCAGCACCCATTGGTTTACAAAGGAGACAGCAAAACAAATTTATCAACTACTTAGTGAAACTTAATAGCAAACTTCTAGGCGAATGGAGACTCTGAGGTGGACTATGTCAGCCAATTGACCTCTGAAGAATTTCCTCATCCTTGGAGCAGTGATATTAGAACTATCAAAAACATTTGAACGGGACCCTCAGAACCTGATCCACCATGGGGACATGTCTGGGATGACATTGGGTACTGGGGAGGCTGGGTGCGGTCTCTCCCATTGTATCTTCTCCTCTCCCAAATATAGGAAGAAGAAAAAGAAAATGTGCAAACAATGGTCTCACCCACATTCCTCTGATCCATGACCCTTCCCACACTGATCAACTATGTAAACATAATCAAAAATAAAATAAAAATTTATGGGACATGATCAAGGCAGTGTAAAGAGAAAAGTTTATCTCAATCAATGCTTATGTTAAGAAATTGAAAAGCACCAAGTAAATGGGCTAACCATACATTTGGAGGAGTCAGAAAGATAGCAGGAAAGCAATCCCAAGATTAGCATGAAAAAAGAAATAACAAAAATAAGGGAGGAAATAAACCAGAGACCAAAAAAACAATACATAAGATCAATGAATCAAAGAGCTGTTTTTTTTTTTTTTTGAGAAAATCAACAAAATAGATTCTCCCTAGCCAAATTAATCAAAAAAGGAGGGAGAAGATACAAATCAATAGGATCAGAGATGAAAACGGATATAAAACAGATATCTCAGACATACATAGAATTATTAGGAAATACTGCAAGCAACTGAATGCCAACAAGTTTGAAGACCTAGAAGAAAAGATACATTTTTTGACACATACGATCTACCAAAATTGAATCGTGAGGCAGTTAATAATCTAAATAGATCTATAATAAAGACTGAGATTGAATCAGTAATTGAATCCCCTCCAACCAAAAAAAAAGCCCTGGACCAGATGGTTTCACAGCAGAATTCTACCAGATGTTTCAAGAAGAACTTACCCCAATTCTCCACAAGCTATTCCAAACAATACAAAGGGAGACAATCCTTCAATACTCTTTCTATGAAGCCAATATCACCTTAACACCGAAGCCAGATAGAAAAACAAAAGAAAAAGAGAACTGTAGACCAATATCCCTGATGAGCATAGACACAAAGATCCTCAACAAAACACTAGCCAACAGGATCCAACAGTACATCAGGCAGATAATTCACTAGGACCAGGTGGGATTTATTCTTGGCATGTAGGAATGGTTTAACATTCACATATCTATAAATGTGATTCACCACATCAACAAATTAAAAAATAAAAACCATATGGTCATCTCAATAACTGAATAGAAGACATGTGAATAAATCCAACATCATTTGATGCTAAAAGATAGGCATAGAAGGAACATTCTACAGTACAATCAAGGCAATGTAAGAAAAGAAAAACAATGCCAGCATCATACTAAATGGGGAAAAACTGGAAGCTTTTCTACTAAGAATTGGAACTAGATAAGGAATGTCCACTCTCACCAATGCTACTCAATATGGTACTGAAAGTTCTTGCCAGAGCTATTAGGCAAGAAAAAGGAATTAAAGGAATTCAAGTTAGAACAGAGGATTAACATTATCCCTGTTTACAGAGTACATCATTCTCTACATTGGAAAACTAAAAAGTTCAATCAAGAGACTATTGGAACTCATGAGAGAATTTTAGCAAGATAGCGGGATTCAAAGTTAATGAACATAAATCAATGGCCCTAGTATATACAAATAACTCCATGGTGGAGAAATAAATTGAAAGTACAGTCCCCCTTAAAATAGTGGGGGCAGGGAATCTTAAATACCTTGAAATTAACCTAACCAAGGATGGTGGAAGACTTCTATGATTAAAATTACAAAACATCAAAAAAGAAATTGAAAAAGACATTAAAAGATGGAGAAACTTAGCATGTTCCTGGATTGGTAAGTTCAACATCATCAAAATGTCCATAATATCAAAAGTAATATGCAGATTCAATGCAAAATCAAAATCCCAATGACGTTCTTTTCAGAAATAGAAGATACAAAAAGTTCATCTGGAAACACAAGAGACCACAAATAGTCAAATCTATCCAGAATATTAAGGATCAAGCTGGAGGAACCACAATTAACCTCAAGACATACTACAGGACAGTGTTCATCAAAACAGTCTGGTACTGGTAAAGAAACAGAAAAGATCAATGAAACAGAATAGAAACATCAGAATAGAGCTCACACATGTATAGCCAACTAACCTTTGACAAGAAAAGTAAAAATAATCTAGGGGAAAAAACCTGGTTTCTACAACAAATGCTATTGAGACAATTGGATAGTAGCTGGCAGAGATAAGAAACAAGACCTGTCATGTTATACAGAAACCAGCTCTAAATAGGTCAAGAACCTAAATTTATACCTAGAAACTATCCAACTATTAGAGAAAAACAAAGGAAGCACTCTCCAAGATATAGAAATAGGAAAAGACTGCCTAGAAAAGTCACCAAAACACAGGTAGTCAAAGCCAAATAATAAATGAGACTGCATCAAGCTGGGAAGCTTCTGTACAGCAAAGGAAGTGATCAACAAAATGAAGAAGCAACCAATGGAATGGGAGAAAAATCTTTGCACACCACACAAGTGATTAGAGTACTAATATCCAGGATTTACAAAGCTTCAGAAACTCAATGACAGCAAAACAACAACCCTGTGAAGAAATGGGCAAAGAAAATGAACATTCTTCAAAAGAACAGATTCAAATAGCACATAGACATGAAAAAATGCTCAGGCTCCCTAGCTGTCAGGGAAATACAAACGAAAACCACGTTGAGGTTCTACCTAACTTCAGTGAGGTTGGCCTACATTCAGAACTCTACTAACAACACCTGCTGGCATGGATGTGGGAGAAAAGCACCTTTCCTCACTGCTGATCAGAGTGTGAGCTAGTACAACCACTATGGAAGTTAGTATGGAGAGTGCTTAGAGAACTGAAAACTGACCTGCCGTATGACCCAGCTATCCCACTTCTGAGAATACATCCAAAGGAAATGAAATCTGCATAGGAGAAAGGGGTCTGTAATTCTATATTTACAGCAGCAAAATCTACTATAGCAAAGAAATGGAGACTACCTAGACGCCTGTCAAAACAGAAGTGGATAAAAACAAAAAACAAAACAACAACAACAACAAAACCCCTGTGGTACATCTACTCTGTTATTCAGCCATTAAAAAGAATGAAATTCTACCATTTGCAACAAATGGTCCCGACTAGAGAGCATTATGCTCAGTGAAATAAGTCAATCCCAAAAGGGCAAGTGTTATCTGTTCTCCCTGTCATAAGGCAACCTTCATGCAAAATACAAGATCAATAACCCTTTCAATACCGTCTTTGCTACATCTCAGGGGGGTTGTTATTTTTTATTTTCATTTTTTAAAAAATATTTTTTCTTACTAATCTCTTCACTAACACTTCATATGGTAGCAATATTTGCTTCAAGAAGGTTTTTGAATTTTTTTTTTCATTTCTCAGTGACATATTGGTCATTCAGAAGCATATTATTTAACTTCATTCTGTTGTGAATTTTCTATTTTTCTTCCTGTTGTTGGTTTTTTTTTTATGGCTTTTCATTTAAGGGAATATATAGTAACTGTGTAATAGAGACTATAATATCCAGTTGGGAAGAAACAATGCAGTGTACACCTCTACTTTCAAATTAAAGATGGACCACCAATAAAACCGTTAAATATATCTTGACACAAGGATGCTGGACTCTGTCATTGTCCATACCTACAATGTCAAGATAAACTTTAATGGCAGAATGAGGGACTTATAAAAAAGGACTAGACCATTGTAATAATATAGGGGAAATTGGGGAGGGGTGGGACATTTTGGAGGGGGGGAAGGGAAATCCCATAGCCTATGGTACTGTATCATAAAACAATTAAATACATATTAAAAAATGCCTGAGTATGTGAGTTCGGTTCCCAGCTTGGACACCAGATTTGAGTTTCCTGCTAATGCAGATCCAGAAAGGTACTGGGGATGACTCATATAAAGCCATGCAGAATTTTTTAATAAAATATATTTTCATGACTTTTTCTGAAGGCCCCTTCTTATGTACACATTTCCAAACAAAAGAAATTTAGCTTTAAATTCCATTTTCCACAAACTTTTTTTAAAGATTTATTTTATTTGAAAGGCATAAGTTACAGAGTCAAGAGACAGAAATGGAGATCCTCCATCTGCTGGCTCATTCTCCAAACAGCTTCCATGGCCTCGTCTCGACCAGGCTGAAGCAAGGAGGCTGGAACTCCATTTGGGTTTTCTATGTGGCCAACAGTTGCCCACACACCTGGACCATCTTTTGCTGCTTTTCCAAGCATAGTATCAGGAACTAGATCAGAAGCAGAGCAGCCAACACTGTTGCTCACATGAGATGCTACTGAGCCAGAGGGCTGGCCCCATTTCCACCAGCTTTTTGAAGTCACAAAATTGACCACTTCATCAATGGTCAAGACATATTTTCTGGACTAGACTGCGAGATCCATGAGGGTGGGAAGTTGTTGGCTTTATTTACCACAATTATCACAACACCTGGCAAACAGGAGTGAGTATATACAGCAGATAAAATATATTCATCAGATGAAGAGCCAGGGAAAGTCAGAGATTTTGTTTGCTGTTGCAGGGATTGCAAGAGTGGGAGGAAAAGGGAACCTTAGCAATGAGGGCACCCATGGGCGTGGCGCACGATGAGAGCTCTGCCTCCACCAGGCAGGGGAGTCCTTACCTCTGTGAGAAGCCTCTCCATGGAGCTCTTCTCGCCCCTCAGGTGGCAGTTCTCCTCGCCATACTGCGCATGGGTGCTTTTGCTGGGAGTGCTGAAATACTTGGCCATGCATCTGATTGTTTGGTTTTCCTCTTCAAATGCCTTCCATCGCTTCAGCTGTTAGAGAAAAGAACACATGCTGTTTATTTAATTACACACCCAGAAACACATTCCCTCACTCTTCCTTGTCCACACCAAGGAATGGCACGGTCACAGACACACATATGCACGAATTATTCTCCACTCAGAATATACTTTTACCCTGGAGGACTCACAGACAGAAACACCAGAAAGTACAGGGAATGTTAAGATTATCTCAGTTTAAAAATAACAGAGGAAGAAATGACAGGTTAGATAAGCCAATAAAACTTTAGGGGCGGGTGTTGTGGTACAGCAAGTTAAACTGCTGATTGCAACACTGACATCCCATATGGGAGAAAAACAACTCTCTCTCTCTCTCTCTCTCTCTTTTTTTTTTTTTTGTCTCTGTTCCTTTCTGTATCTCCCTTTCTCGCTGTAACTCTATCTTCCAAGTAAATAATAAACCTACCTACCTGTCTACCACCAACTGATCGAAGCCAGAGCTGAAGTATACTTCTAGAGCCCTGTTTCCAAGCCGCAGTCGTCACAGAGATCAAGCAATTTAAGCATCATTTGTTTTTGAAAGAAACTGCTTTGCGTCGAACCTAGTGCTTCTTAATTATTTTTTATTCTTTGGCTAATGGTATGCTTGCTGTCACTGAAAACTCAGCTCTTTCCTTTTGAATGTCCAATCCAATGAATAATCAAGGCTCAGGCAGACAGAAAACCACCCCCATGTCAATGGGAATGATGACACTGCATCTGAGACCAGACCATCATTTGAAGGGCTGAGGAGCTTGATTCATCCAAGCTGACACAGAGTCAGCAGCAAACAGGGTACCAGGCCACAGCACATATCCTCTCACAGTTCCTAAGGAGAGAGCCCATCAGCTACAGTGGTCTTAGAGAAAGTTCTTTGGAATAAGCTAGCCTTGTGAAACAACCTACAGAAGCACAGGCTGGTTAACTGAACAGGGATGGGGCTGAGCCTAGAACATTCACAGGAGGCAGCTGCTCTGGGGCCTGCGGGATGCTGTATCCCCTCAGTTGACGCCAGTGATGTACAGGTGGAGGCATCCCTTTGGCCCACAGGACTCTCCATAATGAAGTGTCCTGGTGATGGGTGCTGAGGACTCTTCTGCTCTAATGAAGCTGAGGTGACCACTGTTTCAGCTCACTCATCAAGCACTGACAATGCAGTGGGACCTACATTTTGTAAATCTCAGATAGGATTCTACATGTCACCATTCATTTCCATATACATCCAAATCCTCTCAGGTCCTCTCTTGACTCAGCGTGAATCTTCTGGGTACCAGGATCTGTGTGGCCTGTGCCAAGTCACAGGCATGCACCCTCTCAGGCGACGGTCTCCTTACAGAGGGATGCCACAGGCTTCTCACATACTCAGGATCTACCGGCCACTAACACCATGGGTCACTCCATGGCTTTCAGCAGACGAGGCAGCTATTATTCTCTTAGCACTGATCCTAGCACTGCTGCCTTGATCTCTCTCAGTGCCCACCCTGTACTAACCACACAGGTCTTCCTTTATTTCCTTGGCATCCCTAGATGCAGCCCTCTCTGCAGGGTCCCTGGAAGACCAGCCCAACCTGGTGTAAATGTTCTTGCAAGACTTCTGGTTCATTGCTCCCTGAGCTGGTATCAAGAGCCAAGGGGCCCCTTGACTAAAATCGCTAGCCTCCTTGGTAAAGATCCTGACTCTTAATACCTGACCCTTTCAGGATTTCCAGAATACATGTGTAAATGATCCTCACATGCCAGTTCCAGGACCGCTCAAAAAAAAAAAAAAAAGTCTTGTTTTCACAGCCTGTGGGCCCCATGGGTGTGGTAGGATGAGTAATGGTCCCTCAAAGACAGTCATTCACCTCATGCCTGGGATCTGGGAACGCATTACTTCACATAGAGAAAGGAGTGATGCATACGTGATTAAGAGTGGTGAGATGGGGCGGCTACTCTGGATTAGCCAGGTGAGCACATGAGTCCTTACAAGAGAAAGACAGGAGGGTTGAAGTGACAGGAGGTGTGACAACAGAAACAAGTCAGAAAGAGAGCCGAAGATGTCTCTGCTGGCTCGGAAGGCAGAAGAAGAGGCCATCTTCCTGAGCCGACAAGTGCAGGAGCAGAGATGAGAAAAGGGACTCCCCTCGTGTCTTCAGAAGGGGACACTCTGGGTTTAGCCAAATAAGTCCTGCCCCAGATTTCTCAGCTCTAGATCTCCAAGATGTTATAGGTGTGCTTGTGGTAAGGTGTTGACTCTGCAGCGGCAGCAACAGGAAATTAATACTCTAGGCTAAATGTCAAGTCTACAACAGGTGCACCAGGGTCCGCAGAAGCTCACCACAGCGGCTTTTCTGCCCTCCTGCCACTTCCTCCTTATTTCGCTCGGTGCTTCTTGGCCAAGCATAGCATACACCCACAGAAAATTGCCCCCCACATCTCTTTGCTGCTGGCTGTGGTGTGATCCCATCTGTGGTGCCACCCACTGTCCTTCCTCCACATGCTCCATGAACTTTCGCTGTTCCTTCCAGGTTGACCCCAAACACCCCACATCCTGCAAAGGTGCGACTGAGTTCCCAGAGAGTCAGGGTGCGCCCTCCTTGACCTTGCATGACTTGCCATCTTCAAAGCACTTAACAGGCATATTGCAATTCCTTTCATGTCAGCTCCCCACTGGACTTAGAGGTGGGGCCATGGCTTTAACTGCATGTCCCCAGCAATTAACAGATGGATGGAAGGCTATAGAAACAAACAAGCTTTAAAAAGCTCACTAGTCTGGCAGAGGTGTTGGGACATCAGTTGCCCATTAGGCAGAGAAGTCCTAAGATCATGGAGGAGCAGGTGAAACCCTTTAGGTGCTAGAGCAGAAAGCAATAGTGTGCCTCAGGACCCTCCTGCCTCTGCGTGGGAGGATGGAGGAATGGGTCGCATTCAGGTTAAGAGAGCAGAGGCGGGCTGACTGCTGGTGATGATCTCAGCGTTTGGCATAAACACTTAGGCATTTCCTGAGTCCCTGTGTAGAACACTCCTTAGTCCACTTGCTGCACTGTCATCCATTTCACCCAACTCTCTAGCACCGCCTAGTGCCCTGGGGGTGCATCTGTGCCTTTGCTTTTAGCAAACCCCTGCCATCACAGTGCCCGGTGAAAACTCAATGGCAAGCAGGAGTCCACTCCATGGCAAACTGCCATCCCTGTCCTCTGCATAGCTCTCCTTAAACACGTTACCAAATTTACCTAGTGTCCTACTTTTTTCTAGGGAATACACAGTGCAAAGCTCACTGGGAGAACCATTCTTCTATATCAAAGTCCTCGGAGCCAGAGGAGAAAATTAAATTCAGGGACAAACCAGAAAAAACTTTGCTTTGTCAAAAAAGAATGTGCCGGGCCCGGCGCGGTGGTGCAGTGGTTAAGATCTTCGCCTTGCACGCCCTGGGATCCCATATGGGCGTCAGTTCTAATCCCGGCGGCCCCTCTTCCCATCCAGCTCCCTGCCTGTGGCCTGGGAAAGCAGTCAAGGACGGCCCAAAGCTTTGGGACCCTGCACCCACGCAGGAAACCTGGAAGAGGCTCCTGGCTTCGGACTGGCATAGCATCAGCCGTTGTGCTCACTTGGGGAGTGAATCATCGGACGGAAGATCTTCCTCTCTGTCTCTCCTCTCTGTATGTCCGCCTTTCCAATAAAAATTAAAAAAATAAATCTTAAAAAAAAAAAAGAATGTGCCTTCTATACTGAAAATACAGTAGATTGTTGCAATTTGTTTTTAAGTTTTATACCATGTTTAATTCAAAAGGAAAAAAGAATCATGAGAACAAATGAAGGAAATAAAGGAGAGAGCAAGAAAACAACGGACGGAGAGGGCAAGTCCAGCCAAGGAGGTGAGAGAAAGGCCGGCACTGTGTACCCACTAGTTCCTGTGTTCTCCAGCAATCCCCACTGCCACTCCCACTTCGCCAACTCCACAGCTTACTGCTGCTTAGCTCAACCCTAAACAGCACAGTCCAGGCTGTGCTTCGCCCTGCATTTTGTATCAATGAGGACTGGGAATATACCAAAAAAAATTGCCACTGGCCATGGGTCAAGACTCAGACACCAGAAGCTGAGGCTTAGAAATCAAGGTGGGCAGTGGGGAGGGGTGAAGGTCAAGAGAAAGCCATGTCCCACGAATTGCTGATTTGTTCCTCTCCCAGAAGGCAGTCTTGTTTCAAATCAAGAGGGTTGATCTTCTAATCGTTCCTTAATGATTACTTCCTTTCCAAATTCCAGTGTTCTTTCAGAGGCTCCCGCTTTATTCATAAATTTTATTGATAGGTCTGTTCCCTATATTTCTAGTTTCTCATTTTTATTGGTTTTGTTTCCTTAAATTAACCAGTCATTGGATTTTTTTTAGTGTCCAATTGCCCATCCCAAGCTTCTACTAGGGGTTGAAAAATTTTTTTTTGTTTAAAGATTTATTTATTTTTTATTGCAGAGTCAGTTATATAGACAGAGAGGAGGAGAGACAGAGAGGAAGACCTTCTGCCCAATGATTCACTCCCCCAGTGACCTCAACAGCCAGTACTGCACTGATCCGAAGGCAGGAGCCCAGATCCTTTTCCGAGTCTCCCACATGGGTGCAAAGTCCCAAGCCTTTGGGCCGTCCTCGACTGCTTTCTCAGGCCACAAGCAGGAAGTGGGATGGGAAGCAGGGTTGCTGGGATTAGAAACAACACCTATATAGGATCCCAGCATGTCCAAGGTGAGGACTTAAGCTGCTAGGCCATGGCGCCAGGCCATGGGGGTTGAAATTTAATATCATATCTTTCATTCTTATTCAATATTTCATTCTCTAAGATTTTGTCCTTTGACTGGTGGCTTATTGTAATTGAAAAGAGACAATACTCTCTGAATTTTATTGATGAGACAAATCCAATTCCTTCTAAAAATGCATACTTAAGAATTGGTGTATGTGTGTTTTCATATTATCATGCCTCAAAGTGAATTTTTCCCTTTTGTAAGTACACTAAAACCTACACACTTAAGTTTTGGACGAGCTCTTTCATGAGGAAGTAGTTCATCATCACTCAGAAGTTGTGGTGGGAATCAGAATGGTATCCCAACAAGAGAGGTGCGTGAGAGAAGCTTCACGAGGAAGGAAAGAAAAGCTAAGACGACAGGAGAAAGTGCTTTCTGCCAAGTTCATTAACTTGGGTAGATCTTGTTCATTGGTCCTTAGAGCATAACATGAACCAAAAGGCATCACTTTCGTCTCTGATGCCTCAGATTCCTGTTCTTCCTCTTCACTGTCTAGCTATTTCTACTTCTGTCCTCCCTCATTTCATTTCTTTCTTAATCCTGATAGTTGAAACACATTTTGATTTCTCCTTCTTTGTAAAAAGAAGAGGAATGTTCTAAATTTTCCTCCAATAAAAACAGAAAGGAGCTTAAGTCAAAAAAATTCCAGGGCCCGGCACGGTGGCGCAGTGGTTAAGGTCCTCACCTTGCACCCCCGGGATCCCATATGGGCATCGGTTCTATGCCGGCAGCCCCGCTTCCCTTCCAGCTCTCTGCCTGTGGCCCAGGAAAGCAGTCGAGGACAGCCCAAAGCCTTGGGACCCTGCACCTGGGTGGGAGACCCGGAAGAGGCTCCTGGCTTCGGATCGGCATAGTATGGACCATTGCGCTCACTTGGGGAGTGAATCATCGGATGGAAGATCTTCCTCTCTGTCTCTCCTCTCTGTATATCCACCTTTCCAATAAAAAAATAATAAAAAAATAAATCTTTTAAAAAAAATTCCAAATTGGTTTTTCACTGTGACTCTGCAATAACTAATTAGAAAGAAATACCAATTTCCTCATTCCCAGAACAATACTGTTAAGATGGAGAGGGGCTTGGGAACGAGTGAAGCAGAAGAGGGATGCTGGGTGGAAAAGAGGTTCGTGAAAGCAACTTCTGAGGAACAGGCCCTGCAGCTGTGAAGGTGAAGTGGGTCAGCTGCTAGAGCTTGGCCACTGTGGCTGTCCCTCCTGCTGACCAGAGCACAGAATCCGCCTCCTGCAGGACACAGAGCAGGGACAGAGGAGGCCCAGCTCATTAGGATCCTTGCCTTTCTTTAAACTCTCTAATAAATGACATAAAACACTATCAGCAAAAAAACAAAGTAAGCCATGTCATATGGCTGGAGAAATCATGGGAGTAACCAAGATACCTGTTCCGGTACCTCCCTCCCCATCGACCTGGGCCCCGAAAGCATACCTGGGGAACGAAGATGAAGCAGTTGACTGTGGTTGTGCAAACAAAGATGCCTCCAGACGTGAGTCCAAAGACCAGGTTGGGCCAGGACTGCAAGTATCTGGTGACCACCAAAAGCAGCCCAGCAGCCAGCAGCAGGAGGTTGACCCCTACCATGAGAGTTAAGGACTGATTCACAGGGGGTGAGCTGACATGGTCAGTCAGGCCGGCCAGGTAGGCACCACACAGCAACAGCAGACCCTGCAAGCGAGAGGAGAACCCAGGGCTCAGAGAAGTAGCTCAACAGGTCCAAGAGCATCAGGCTCGGGGTCAGGGTCAGCCCCTGTAGAACTGGAACAAAGAACACCTCTCTTAAAGGGTTGCTAGGAGGGATCACAAAGAGAATGCACAGGAAAATCCTCAGAGCAGGGCCTTGCACCTGCTAGGTTCTTAATCAGTATGGTTTCCCTTACCTTGACTGAGCACCACTCAGTCAAATCAGCAAGATAGTCATCAGGGCTCAGGGGTAAGGGTCATGTAGTGGGGTAAAACTGTTCATAAAGGACTGTCAGGTACCAGGAAGGCAGTGGGCACTTGGTATTGCTGGTGGGGGAGTGTCACGGCAACTGCCATGCAGTTTTATATTGCACAAAGCTGCAGGCCACGTGCAAGCCAGAACTGACCTGTGGTCTGCTTGTCAAGTCATGCACCATGGCAGGGGCAGGGCCTGGGGGAAGGGGCTCTTTTTCCTCATGTGCCCACAGGCACCATCTGCTTGCCAAGCTCTGCACCTGCGAGACTGCATCTGCCTGGAAGGGATGCCTTTTTCCAATCTACACAAAGAATCTCTCTAGGCCAGCAGAGGCTCTGTGCCAGTGAATGTTTATGGGAGATGAGGGGTAGAAAAAGAGGAGAACAAAGGCAGGCTGGGACCCGGGTAAGGCTGTAGCGTAGCACTGGCAGCAAACGCTCCATCTACACTTTCCACTCATTGTGATATTCCCTGCCCCCACACAAGGCACCCTGGGTCCTATTCTTTCTTCTTCCCAGGAATAAAAACCTGCTCTCAGATTTCTCATCTGTACTAAGGCAAAAATAACTCACAGCACCTCTTAGTGAGTGCTGCCTCTCCCAGAAGGTGCTGCATTCAAACGAGATCAAAGCTTTAATCAATAATACAGACACTGGAATGCAAAAAACACTCACCTCTGCGACTATGTGCAATGTGCTACACCAGGCATAGGGCAGCAAACAGTGGTGCAAGGCAGAAGGCATGGTATAGGCTTTCTAAGTGCCAGGTCCGGTAGGATCAGGATGAGCAGGATGTCTATGCTTATATCAAAGATGCCAGAGGGGAAGGGGTAGGGGAGGGAACAGGCACTTGGAGGGAGAGCTAATAATGAGATTGCAGTCAAGTGTCAGCAGGACACTTCCCAGTAACCCTGTCATCACATGACCAGCCAGCCCCACTGGCAGAGATAGCTCTAAAGATATGGTTTGGGGGGACTGGTTGGGCCAGTCAAGGAGGAGTCCGCAGGGCAGTGGTGCCTTCCAGGTGTCCTTAATGTTCACTGTCCCACACCTGGATCATCACTGAGTCAAGGACACAGGAAGCCAGTGAGGCTTTTGGGTGGCTGACGCCATCAGGTGTAGAGTGAAGACATTAGTAAAGCACTAAAAAATAAATGAAAGAGGTCAGCATTGTGGCAGGGTGGGGTAAGCAGCTTCTTGTGACTTCAGAATCCCATATATTTGCGTCCCAGTTGCTTTCCTACTGACTCAGCTCCCTGCTAATGTGCCTGGGAAGGCGGTGGAAGATGGCCCAAGTGTTTGGGTTCCTGTTATCCAAGGGGCAGACCAGGATGGAATTCCTGGCTCCTGGCTTCAGCTCAGCCTGGTATACACCCTGGAGCATACAGACCTGTAGGTATCTGGGGCATGAACTAGCAAATGAAAGATCTCTATCTCTGATTCTGATGTGTTTATTCTAGAAACAAATAAGACTTCCTAAAACTGAAAATAATTTTGTGATTCTAAAATGGTCAAATATGATTCTACTAAAATGTTTTCATTCCATAAATTCTTGATCAAATTCTTGATAATAAAGCTTTTATACATTCATGGCTCCTGTTGAATGGCTCACGGCTGATCTTTGTGTCATTCACTTTCACTGTGGAAGAGGAAGGGGTATAGGGTAGGCAACAGGCTCCGATGGGGAGTCTTGGAACTTCATGTGGAGACTAGGGTGCTGCTCTGGTGATGTTAACTTATGGCAGTCTGGCTCAGTTTTCAGATGTTTAACATCTTTCTCCTTTTTGTGCAGACATTACAGTGAAGTAGAAAGAAATGGTAGTGTATAAAAGGCAATGGAGATGGACCAGCATGACGGTTCCATTGGCTAATCCTCTGCCAGCAACCACCAGGATCCCATGTGGGCATCAGTTTGTATTCCAGCTGCTCCACTTCCCATTCATCTCCCTGCTTATGGCCTGGGAAAGCAGTGGAGGATGGCCCAAAGCCTCAGAGACCAGGAAAAAGCTCCTGGCTCTGGATTGGTTCAGCTCCAGCCATTGTGGTTGCTTATGAAGTGAACCAATGGATGGAAGGTTTTTCTCTGTCTCTCCTTCTCTCTGTAAAAATCTGCCTTTTGAATAAAAATTAAATAAATCTTAAAAAAAAAAAAAGCAGGGCAATGGAGAAAGATCCGTTGGGCCAGAGAGTGTCTTGCTGGGGGAGTGGGGCTAGGTTTCTGTGCTAGGGAGGGCATGTTCTCCCACAGGGACCCAGCTGTCGGGAGAGGCAGTGTGTGTGCAAAACCACTGGGGGCAGAGGGAAAAAGAGCAGCAGCACGGACACTTCTTGAGCTTTGGCCATGGGCTGGGACTGTATGAAAGCAGAATGTGGAACTGCTTCCAGAGGGCATGGCAGAATTCAAGCTCAGTTCTGTTGCATGCTGAAAAAGTCCACGTCCTTCAACATTAGCAAGATCCTAGAGACCCATACCTATTCACTTCCTGGAAGCTCCTTTAGAAAAACGCACATGGTTTAAAAGCAATGTTCCCTGTGCGGGTCTGTCCATCTCCAGGCCTGTGTCTCAGAAGCAACCACCTGAAAACTCTTCAAGGGGTAGTAGAATCGGGAAATTGACCTTTAAAGAACTCCAACCTCTGTCAAAAACTCCGTCTGCCCTGTCAGTGCTCGGTCAACCAGATAGCTCTGCCCTGATGGTCAATGTGCAGACTCCACCCACACTGGGTTGTTTGGGGGCTGAGAGGCTCCATGGGGCAGCTGGAGCCCCTCAAAAGACACCATGGATACTGATGTGTCTATAGTCAGTTTTGCCCCTAACCAGCATGAAAAAGTTAGGTGGGCCTGACCCAAATATTCAAGACACCAGAGGCACGATAAGGGCCCTCAGGAGGCCAAGTGCAGCTGGATAGGCTGTTTTCTCATCATTGCCCTTGAGTAGGAGCAGGAGAGACCAAGAAACAAGATAAGCAGCGGGTAGATTCCAGGTGGTCTAGGGGAAGACTTAAGGAAGGCACCCAGAGTGGCTTCCAAACACATCAGAAGTATAGGGAACAGAAAGGGTCATGGCTGTGAGATAATACATTGACAGTGCTCTCCTCATCAACAGACCTCATCGATCCTGTGGCTTCTTCTTCACGTGCATTTTGTTCATGACAGACAGATTCATCCAAGGAGACGAGGCTACCAACCTTGCATCCCAAAACAAGAGTGATCCAGACATCAGAGTACCGGGAAGCACAGAAGTGTGTGTTGGTCAAAGAGCAGGACACGTCTCTCCCTGTCACCTAGGAGGGACACAGAGTCAGGCCTGAGGACACCCACGATTACTGAAGACACACACACAGTAGATCTTGGTGAACACCTCAGAGTGAGAACTCTGCAGCACACGAGTTCCCCTTTAGGCAGTAATAACCATAGAGCACAGTGACACCACTGGAAGGAGAGGCACTCTGAACTCAAGCATATGTTGGTTTGGTTGTGCTGACATGGGGATGCTGTGGCAGCAGGGCTTGTCCCTCAGTTACATACTTCCCTGACAAAGCAACTCAAGCATTGGCTCAGCAAAATGACCAATTGTCTAGTGCGAAACTAGAGACACACACACTACTTCCTATTAGCTGAGTGTGATATACCAATACAGTTAAGTCCTTCAGCTGATTGCTTCATTTAATTTTCACCTTAGCATTATGAAGCAGTATAATTACCGCCATGTTCCTTATGAGGACACAGGCACTTAGAGAAGTTAAATAACTTGGTAGCTTGGTAGAACTGGGATCTGAGTTAAATCTTAAAGATCATCTCCAAATACAACCTCTACCTCTCTAGAGGTGGAGAAAGACAACTTTTGCAGCTCACAGTTCTCATTATTTCGCTAATGTGGAAGCAGAGACCATAATCAGATAGACTGCAGTGTGCTGACATCTCAGTGGATTGCCTCCAGAGAGGCATGTGGGGCAGGAGGGAAGGCAGCTGCCCAGCAGAAGGGATAAGGTGCTCATGGTAGCCACAGTCCCTGATGCTCCTTCCCCTCAGAGTCCTTTATCTTCTTGTTCCAAGGAGAATGCTGCTGGGACAATGACCCCTGTGTTTCCACAGAGGCTTATACGGTACACACATACAGTACACACCCAGGAACTGAGCCCCTCACCGTCACACTGACACCAAGGATCTGCAGGCACTGGATGGGATCAGTCAGCACCCAGGTCACGAGCAGGATCACATCAGCCATCACCAGGGCTGTCACCAGCCCCAGCAACTGCAGGTCTTTGATGATCTGCAAAAGAACCAAGGTTCAAACTTGCCCTTGTTTCCTGGTTATACAACACCGGAGTGAAAGTGGCTCGTGTGCTCTGAACAAGGCTCCAGAGTCAGTGCCCCCAGGAAGCTTCAAGTCTATAAAGATGAAACACAATAAACTTTCAGGAACTCTATATTGACATCATCATTGTCACCATGAACTTTATCATTGTTTAATTTATTCATATCCTACATTTTGGCCAAGGATTTAAGGGGTCTTAAATACAATAGTTTTTCTAGATATGTTTATATGAGCACATAGAGATGTGGTAGTTTTCACATCAAATTGCTGATAGCTATTTTAAAAATGTTCATTTATTTTTATCTAATTTGAAAAGCAGAACGAAGGAGGAAGAGACAGCTTTCATATATACTAGTACATTCTGCATATGTCTACAACAACCAGGGTTTGATCAGGAACTCTACCAAAGTCTCCGACATTAATAGCAGGGGCCCACCTACTTGAGCCACCCTTTTCCCTGCTGTGGCTGCACTCGCAGGAAGCTTCAGCAGAAGCAGAGCAGCTTGGACTCGAAACAGCATTCTGATGTGGGAACTCGGCATATCAAGAGGCAGATTAACCCCCTGCACCACAGCACCTGCCACTCTTGCTTTTAACACCTGGGGTGGTATTGAAGGATGAAGTGGGTAAAGGAGAAATTTTTAGGATTTTCATAAATGTATGAACTCCTTCAGTTAAAATAATGAGAATGTGTGATTTTTGCGACTATAAAAACTAAAATGAAAAATATACATGCCGTGACAGGATAAACACAATGAAAAATATCAAGGAAGAGAGAAAAAAGAATTATGATGTAGGCTCAGGCAAGGAGTATACACAGCATTCATAAACTGGGACAGAAACGAGGATCTGAACTTTTAGCAACCTATAAAAGGAAAGGAACCCAGCCAGTTCGATGGTTTAAGGTTTCTGCAAGGGAAATACAAATCAACTGCCTGATCAAATTGCTCCACACCAATGACAAAGACAAATTAATCAGAAAAGGCATACTATGTGTAGAGAAACATAAGGGAGAAAACAGACTTATCCGAAACAAGAGCAAGTAAGACAACAGTGGAAAATCAGCTTCAAGGTACTGAAAAAAGAAAACGAAACCTTCATACAGAATTCTACACTCAACAAGGTATCTTTTAGAAACAAAGGCAAAATAAAGACTTTCAGATGTCTAAAAGCTGAAAGCATTCATCACTAACATGCACTAGGATGGCAGATAATGAGACAAAAGGAAAAATGATGCCAGATGAAACTGTGGATTCATGTAGAAAAATAAAATCATTGGAAAGGGTCATGACATGGCAAAATACAGCATTTACTTCTGACAAATATCTTCAAAGATAATCGATTATTTAAACAAAAATAATAAATTACATGGACTTAAAACATATGCAAAAGCAAAAACAGTAGTGTTTTTTATTATTACTATTTTATTTGTATTGGAAAGGCAGATTTACAGAGAGAGAGACAGAGAGAAAGATCTGTTTCCTGGTTCACTCCCCAAGTGGCTGCAACAGCTGGTGCTGAGCTAATCTGACGTCAGAATCCAGGAACTTCTTCTAGGTCTTCCACGCAGGAGTAGGGTCCCAAGGCTTTGGGCCATCCTACCCTGTTTTCTCAGGTCAAGAGCAGGGAGCTAGATGGGGAGTGGAACTGCCAGGACACAAAGCACCATCCACATGGGATCCTGGTGCATACAAGGAGAGGATTTAGCCACTAAGCCTTTGGGCCGGACCCAATAGTGTTTTTCAATAATACATCATTGTGAAGTACTTAAAATATTTTTAAGTACCAATTGTACAATCATATAAAAGGTTTCCAGAAATTGAAAGAAATACTTTCTAACTCTATCAGACTGCATTATCCTAATATTGCTACTAGCAAAAAATTGCAAGAAAAGAAAATTGTAGAGCAATGTCCGTTAATAACATGAACACAAAAACATTAAGCAAAATTGTATGAGTAAGAACCTAACAATACACAAAGAGGACAATACATCATGGTCAAGTAGAATGTAACCCAGGAATGCAGAGTTGCTTTGACATTCAAAGATCATTTATTTTAATCCATCATCTGAATAAACTAAAAACAAAAGATCAACTTAATAGACACATTAAAAGCATTTAACAAAACTCAAAATTCTTCACAAAAAGACTAAATAAAGTAGGTAAGCTGGAACTCCTCTATTAGAACAGATTGGGAGCAGCCCAGACCAGGTGGGTCAGGTCACCTGACCAAGTGGGTCAGGTGTGGAGGAAGGCCATGCTGGACCAGTTCATAACACCCACTAGGCAGGAGTCCAGGTAAGTCTGAGCAGCAGAGTGGGTGTCTGGATCCCCCAGCCATGTGGCTTTGGTTGGAAGTACCCGTGCCAGTCCAGGCTTCATGTTGGGGATCCTAGCTCCCCATTCACTGCTGTTAGGTGGGGGAAGGGTCCTGAGCTTGTGGGCCTTGGCGCCAGGCTTCGCACACTGGCTGTTTGGTGGTGAGCTCTGGGGACTTGGGTGTATGGAATTACTGCCTAGGGACATCCATGGATAAGGCCACTGTATGTGTAGGTGAGGAATGAATCCTGAGGGACACCCAACGACAGGGCCATTGTACTTGCAGGTAAGTGAGGGGATTGAGGCCTGGTGGTTAGGAGGGGAGAGACCTGAATATCTTTATGGATCAGACTGATGCACCAGCCTATATGGGAATCCTGTGTTGGGCTTGTTAGCATGGAACGTGGCTGACCACCACATGCCAGTGCACATGCAAGCTATGGCTGAAGGCCTGTCTGTCAGGGCTAGATCCCAGTACTTGACAGTGAGAGTCAGATCAGGGGATGGGTCACATTAGATGGGCCATGACACCAACCAGCATGCAAGAGAACGAGGTCTGGGTATAGATTTTGTGGCGGATATGTGGGCCCAACCCTATGAAATTACAAATCCCGCTGGTTTGAGAGTTGGGATGGTGATGGGCTGAGCTAGGAGTGACCATGGAATTCATGAATGCTCACCAGCACAACTTGGCTGGGAACAAGTTAAGCAGGTCTAGCCTGCAGCACCCCTGTGACCACCCTAAAACATGTTGTTGGGTAGATCAGACTGCATCAACTCATACAAAGGCTGGCATGGATAGGGCAGACCATGTCAAGTAAGGGCCAAAGTGCCTGCTGGCATGCATGAGATCTGGGTCTGGGAGTGTGCCAAGTGGGGGAACCTGAGTAACTTCCCTAGGGGTCATAGTTCCTGCTGATGAGCATGTGGTCAAGGCCTGGGTGTTCAGCAAGCTGGGCAAGGTGACTCCAGCCGTCGGCAAGTATGTGAGTTGGTTTCGGAATGGGGTGGACCGGGCAGGGTGGAACAAAACCATAGCCCACTGGCAAGTGCAGAAACAAGGATGCAGTGCATGGTAGGTCGGGCTAGGCTGCCACACCTACTGGTTTACATGATCGGGGGATGAGAGCAGACTGAACAGGGCCAGGTTGCAGCACCTGCCAGATAGAGTTAGGACTGGGGGCCAGCTGGGCCAGGCCAGGCTGCAGTATTCAAAAGCAAAGGCCAAGACAGGGGAGTGGCTACGTTAAGCTGGGTCAGAGTAACCATTGCCATGCGTGAGATCCATGGCTGGGATCAGGCCTGGTTGGGGAGCTAAAGGGGACACTATGGCTGGGTTGTGGGTCCCACTGTTGAGCACGAGGGCCGGAGTGGGGGCTGCAGTCTGGTCTGGACATGGTTTTAGTCTCCCTTGACATGGATGCTGACTGTGTCTGGGGCATGCCAGACTGGGTTAAACTCCAGCATCCATTGGTGTCATGATAACCAGGGTGGGTGTAGGATAGGCTGGGCTAGGTCTCTGCCCCTATTGAGCCATGCATGAGCTGAGTTGGGTATGGACTAGGCTTGACTGGCTGGGCTATATTACCCAACAGTAAGAACCAGAATCAGTGAGGACCGGTCAGGAAACGCCACTGTGCCTGCCAGCACAGTGTAGGGCTGGCTATGGACTCACTGGTGTGTGTGAGATCTGGCACTGGGAGAAGTTCTGATGGAGGAGCTTGGCAACTCCTCTGTCAGGACACAGTTCCTGCAGTTGAGCACATGAACCAAGAAAGGGAGCAGCCCAGACCAGGCTAGGTTATGGTACCCATGGGCTCACCTTTGGTTTAAGTAGGGGCAAGCCTGGCTGCACCAGTTCATATCACCTACTGGCAAATACGAGAGCCAGAATGGTATATGAGTGATGCCAGGTCAGGCCGCAATACCAGCCAGTTCACATTAGGGCCAGGACTGGGGGATGGTTGGGCTGGTTAGGTTATAGTCCCCACCAGCGTGAGCTGGAACTGGAGTGGGCATGCTGAGCCAGGCTACAGCACCCACTGGAAAATGCCGAGGTGAGGTGAGCCATGCCAAGATGAGCCTTGTACCCAACCTTGTACCTGGGGAAAGTGGGTGAAGTCAGTAGGGGGGCTGCAGGGAGCTCCCCTGCTGGGCCACTATTCCCACGGGTGAGCATGAGAGCTGGGATTGGGGACCAACCAGGCTGGGCAGGGCTACAATACCTGTTGGCCTGCATGTAAGCTGGATCAGAAACAAGCCAGGTTGGGTGGACTGTACTTACTGGTACATGCATAAGCCAGAGGGGATGAGGACTGGCTGTGCTTTGCCACAGCATCAGCTAGCAGATGCTGGCACAAGGGGATAACTCTGTCGAGCTAAACTGCAGAACCCCTGCAGAGTGTAAGATCCAGAAGTGGGAGTAATCCCATTAGGGAAACTGTGGACACCTCCCTCTTGGGTTGCCATTCCAACTGGTAAGCATGAGAACCGGGGCTAGGACAGGGATGGCTAGACCAAGAGTGGCACCTGCTGGCACATATATGGGCTGGATAGGGGGTGCTGTTTGGGTTGAACTAGGCTTCAGTGCCCATTGACACATATAAAAGCTGAATGGGATGTGAGTCAGACAGAACC